ATTTATTTATTGGGGGGCAGTACTGGGGCTTGAACCCAGGACCTTGTGCATGCTAAGCACACGCTCTACCACTGAGCTACACCTTCCCCCACCCATATACTTCTTAAATGAGACCATCCAGTATGGTTAGTTTGCTGTCATCCGAAATGGCCTATCTGATTTGGGCTGAACTTCAGCACTAAGTCATCATATGGTAACAAGGCATTCAATGGCTTTATTTTCATTCCATGGTTAATGCTAATGTTATTCCGCCCTTTGCCTGAGTGTATCATCTCATCAGTCTTACGACAAATACTCTTAGGTACGACAAACACTCGTAGGTTTTTGACAGCTGGAGTGCGGGGCAAGCTCTGGACTAGGAATCAGTTATGAGCCTTTTACTCAGGTCTGATTTCCAAAGCTTACTAGATGTGAGGTCCTGGACAGGAAACCTGAAGGGCTCTGTTTTTTCCCCTGGTGAAATGTGGATACGGATTATCCGCTGTAGAACATCACAGGAGTCTCAAAAAAAAAAAAAAAAAGGTGAATGTAAGATGTTCCTCCGGCACTGTTTACAATTCAACAAATATTCAGTTATTCATTTATTCAGTTAATTCCATACATAACTATTGTTGGCAGGCGCTGTGCTAGATTTTAGGAATACAGCTGTGAGCAAACCAAACAAAATCTCAGCCCTCCTCGCTTTGAAGACAGCTACTAAAGAGTTTCACAAAATTAATATCTATAAACTGTAACCCGTATTAAAAAGTACAGTGTGCTCTAACAACATACAGAAAGGGGACATGCTCTTACGTGGGAAGATCAGGAAAGTGACATTTGAGCTGACAGCTGCAGAGGAGAGCCCTAATGGAGGGGGCGGGGCAAGTCCTACTTTGGCATCCAGTTCTTCTCTCATTAAATATTCATCTACTGCCTGGAGTAGCCCAGCACCCCGCTAGGCGCCGGTCAAGGTGTCACACACTTAGATAAATTAAAAAGTTAATACGTGCTACTTCGAGACTTTTAGGAAGGACTACTTACCCCGGCAATCCCACTTCCTAGGTAACTGCTTCCTCCGCGTTTTGGCTGCAGTTAAGGATCGGGAAGCAGCCCCGGGTCCCAAACTTCCGAAGCCACGCCGTTTCTGGGGGGCACTCTTCCACGCCACCACGTGCCACGCACCGGTGCAGGTGCAGGGAGGGGGCGTGGTGAGGACCGAAACACACAACCAGCTCCGTGAGATCATGGAGCTCATAACTGTGGGGACCACGGACGTGGTGGGGACAAAGGAACAAACAAACAAAAAAACGTGGCGGACACTGTGGAGAAACCGAAACAGAACAGCGGGATGGGCGAGGATCCCCTCCAGACGGGCTGGTGAAGAAACGCTCACAAGGAGTCAGCACTCGAGTTGAGGGCTGAAGGCAAACAGGACGCCGGCCCCTGACGCGGAAACGGGCGCCGAGCTCGTCTCGTTCTCGGGCCGCGGTTCTCAGCGCGGGCGACCTGGCTCCCGGGGGCTATTTGGAGACGGCTGCGGCTGCCATCACTGGGGAGCGGGGCGGGCCGGGATCCAGCGGCGACAGGAGGTCAGGGATACCCCGGAGCATCCTCGGTGCACAGGAGCCCCCACGAGGAGCGCTCGGCTCGCAGAGTCAGCGGACGGAGAGCCCCGGTCCGCGGC